CAGAGATCAAATTTGCCCACAATGTGAAGGAATATCCATATCAAATACTGAATATTGTTGCTTCTGGAGAGTTGGTGGGATATTCTTACGTAGCATGATGGTTGACTCGTAATTCTTGTGAGCATCAGATTGGAAAATGTGATGTGTATGTGCTAGAGCAGTGTTTATCGAGCAGTGTTTCTCAACTAGTGGTATGAGTACCCTTAGGGGTACTCGAGAGAAGTCGGGGGTATATTAGCACAACTGAAATTTGGAGGAAACTGAATATTTGTTTTTAAGTTTTATAGCGTTTTATTATTTTTGTACTTTTTACACCCCAAAATTTCATCGCCCGCCCGGCTATGATTAAGTTGTTTAAACAAATGTATTGCAATGGTAGAAAAAAAAATTGTCTGAAAACTGTAGGTACTGGGGATACTTTTTTCTTTTTTTGAAAAAGGGGTACTTTATTAAAAAAAGAAAAAAAGCTTGAGAAACACTGTGTGCATCGAAGTTGAATGTATTGACAGTACATGTTCCATTTGGACTCTCCTCTGAGAGTCATGATGAAAACGTTTGTATGTCATGTTAAGTTGTATTTAACTTCCAAAGGGGTGGCATAATCATAGCTTCTGTTCATTTGATTAGGTAATGCGCATGCTTAGCACCTCCAAAAATCTGGCTTTTGTTATGTGGATGCTTAATTTTAGACAGTCGCATCCGAAAAGTTTTGCCTGTGTATGAAACTTCTAATTTTTACCTGCATAAAAATGCTGTATTAAAAAGCTTTGAACGTGATTATAGGCTTATAAGGTTGTTTTTTCTAATGGCCTTTACCCATTTTAAAGATTTAGGCTATGTCTACGTATCTCCTGCTGATAAAACTACTGCCTCTTGTTGCAGTGGGTTTTATTTTGTCATCAGGAGGCCTCTCACCAGGGGAGAGAGTAGCTACGCTGCACTTTAGAGTGGTGTGGCTATAACATCATGGTTGCACCATTTTAAGCTGTGCAGTATAGATGTAGCCCTAGTCTGACACCTGCCTAACACAGGCCATATAGAAATTCACCTAGTCATTCTCTACCAATTTCTGAATAACCTGTGTTTCTAGTCTGAATTTATCTAGCATCATCCTTTAGCATTTGGATCATCAATTCTTCGTGAAATTATGGAATAGGTATTTCTGTTCTTGATAAATAATCCATTTGTTATACATGGGTTTAAAATGAGCTCTCAGCGAATGGACCAAGTAACACAATTTGTGCTGCATTCATGTACTCAAATAGTTGTAATGAAAATTAAAGCAAACCTTGAAGCAGGCACTAAATGACAAGTATGAAAAGTCCAAGCCCCGTACTTACTGTGACAGATGGCATTTTTTGCATGTACTGCAATAATTAAAACTTTTTATTGAGGGTTTTGTATAATCAAATATGTAGGGAATATAATGCAAGATGAAAAGCAA